TATATATATATATATATATATACTGACTCAAGTAATAAAGATAGACTTATAGCTTACACAATTTTTGGCAGATATTCTTGATTAATCTCTTCGTAAAGGCTCCAATTCGCACCTAGATGATAAAAATTTCATGTAAACAATTTATAAATCATAATTATTAAAAGGTTTATAAAATTTATACAATTAAAGTTGCTTAAGAATAGTATATAATTGATAATGGGGTTCCATACACAGTGAAAAGTGACGGCCTAGAGGTACCAAGTATGGGCAAAAGTTTTGACCTATACGTGGTCAAAACTGCAGTCCATCCTGGATGAGAACAGCTTTTTGGAGAGCAAGGCTATGCAAAATTAAATGGAAACGTCAGCTCTACTCAAATCATTGTGAAAAAATTCTACTACCAGTCCTTAATCACTTTAAACGAAATAGGATAAATACATCTCATATTACCAATTATATTTACTTAACCTTGCCTATCAGAATACTTTCGCGTCTAGCGTTTACTTCAGAATTGATCTCACTTGGGTATCATTAACAACCCCCAACGTGGAGCTAAACAGGGTCGTGAGTATCGTGGTGAGACTACCAGTCTGCTATGGAGCCACTGGCGAGAGTAGATCTCAAAAAAGATTTTTATTTCCAGGAAACTCACATCTATTGTGGGAGTGTCGATTCATCTTTAAACTTCCATATAGAAAATAAGTACATTCCTCGATTTTAATTGCAAATGCAAATTTTTCTCATAAATGCTTCCCCTAAAAAAGTGATTCAAGGGAGGGCTGGCCTACCTTGGGAGTCATAGCTGTCATATGACCACCTGGAACAAACCCACATGTGGGATGCTGTCATATAGCCACAATATATATTACCTGGTTTCTGATATCATTTGTTGATGCTCATGACACTTAATCCAAATAGAAACAGCAGTTAAGCCCAAATGATAAATTATTTTTGAAAGCAAAGCTAAGCGAAATTTAATGTCATTATTTGGCATACTCAACTATCGTGGTAAAAGTTAAACTATCAATCCTAATCCCATCCTAGGCCACTAGAATAATCAATGATCTATTCAAAGATATGGGTTGAGCAAGTTTCGATTAAAAGCTGGCTCTATTCTTTAGTCTATCAACAACTAAACCTATTACATACTTAAATCTTTGCCCCATTCCGACCATTTGGTTTTCTCCCTTATTTACTGATTTCAAACAATTAAATAGCTTTAAGGTTTTCAAGAGATATACTATAATCCACTAGCCGAATTGTTTTAGAACATTAGATTTCATTAACTGCTTCTCCCATTATGTATGTCACTTCTGAACTCTGGATCCAATAGCCTCCACAAGTTTATTGGTGTATATTTTCGACTGATCTCTCCAAATTAAGGTCTATAACATTATTTTTTGGCCGCCTGATTTATATAGATCTCCATTATTCCATCTAAAGTTGTATATAACCGAATAAATTTTCAAAGTTTATTTAAAGCAACTTTGATTTCGCATTTTCTTAGCAGCTCGTATATCCTTCTTAAAAGATGGCAGCAAGGCGAAGTTGTAGCATGAAAAATAATATTATGCCTTTTATCTCTGTCTAACTAATCCAAATTCTCAATTATAGTTTTTATTAACTTTATATTACTTTCAATCAGACCCGATTTGTGATTCTTATCTATCAAAACTTTTTTGCCTATAAAGCCTCAAATTAAATGTAACAAAGAAATAGTAGTAATTTCAGTTGCTGTTAGCCAGGGCTATAAAAAATTTCACAGGAGCTTAAAAATCGTCTTAAAATTATAGATAATTCTAGGGATTATATGTGTTCGATGGATAAAAGAAGGAATTCCTTTCAGGTTTGGAAATAAGCCAAGGCTTACCACATAAACAAATAAATTTTTATATATGTAGATGGAAAGAGAGATTAAGAGAGATAGAAAGAAATATAATTTGAGAATGTTTTATCTCTTGCTAAGCTTGATCCTATTTGACCTTGCATAACCGTGTTTAGTTGGAAAAATGTAATTATCGATGTAAAATTATCTGGAATCGTGAAATAAGCAAAGATTTCCAGCATGGCTTATCGTATCTTTATTACGAAAAAAAGGTAGAGTCTCACGGGCCAGAATCACCCTTTTTTGGTTAATTACCTTCTTTTGTGAGCTTTTGAACCAGCCTGGCCAGAGCTCGAACGTGTTCCAGCGGCCAGCGCCCAATCTCAGGTAAAACTTCACCATTTTGGTCCTCATCGAGTTCCCAAAATTGGCTCCATTCGCCATGCTCCTCCAGAGTGTCCTTTTCATCAGTCATTAATTCATCCACGCGTCTCCCCAGCGATTCACTCACTCCAATATTGTATGCTTTTCGGTAGTCCCGATCCATCTTCGCCCCAGTTTCGAAATCGGTCATATTTTTCTCATTTTCTCTCGCTGCAGAGCACTCGCAATCCTGATCTATTGCATCAGTTGAGGCGGGTTTAGAAGCAGCCACCAGAACGGTCATTTTACCAAATGATTCTACTTCTATGGCACCCTGTATCATGGGCTTATTAGAGATCATGTCCCCGTTTGTGTTGTTAACTTCACAGTTATTATTTTGCGACTTTGAAGTTTTACTTTTAGCCACCCAGGTGCTGCAAGGCCTATCCAGCCTGTTCAACCCTGGTGTAAGTGGCTCTTCAATGCCAGCCATTTTTGCCTGTTTTGCTTCGCGAACGCCTAGCAACAAACACGTTAGGCTTTCAGAAGTATCCGGTTTCCTAGCTGATCCATCATCCTCCATACTTGACCCGCTCTTTTTTGAGGAAAGGGCTTCTGCTATATCGTTGTTGCCTTGAAAATGATAATTTGATGCTTCATTTTTCCTCTGGCAAGAAGATAGGCGCATTTCCTGAAGCTTCCCCTCAGCACACTCAGGACTGGCTGTTCGCTCGGAGCGGCGCTTTAACATACTCGACCATCTAAAGGAGTCCTCGGTAACGGGAGAATTGACCTGGGGAGTGTACGCTAGTGGCAGAGAGAGTTCTTTAATGCAACATAGGCATAGGGGTATTGGTAAGAAAAGCATAAGTCTATAATTGAAATGAAAAAAAATGTATCAAAATTTAATTTTGTTCAAGTAATTATGTATATTTTGATATAATTTGATGGAGGATAAGTTTGAAACTTATGCACGTGTGGCTCCGCAGGCGTACTACTTCATAAAATACATATTTATATTACTCTGGCTGATCATTTGGCATAACTCATGCATCTAATAGATACTGTATACTTATATAAGAGATTGCATCCTTTATATCCACTACTATATATATCTAGTAGTATATATATATCTACTATATCTACTAGTTTCAGGTTTATATACGCCTGGCCGAAAATTACATGATTTATCCTATTCTCCCCTAAAATGCTATACTATTATTATTATTATTATTTCGACCATTTGAATAATCATTCTACAAAAACAATCTTTAGGTGAAACATAACTTATTGCTTAATCTTGGAAGTTAGTCTATACATTGCTTATATTTTTATGTTGATATTTATAAAAGGTTTATCATATCTTTATTATTTGAGCTTCGTACATTTTATATTAGAATTAGTAGAGGCTTTGAAGAGGAAATCAATTTCTAGTATTTAGATTATTCTTTTTTATAACCTTTTACTAAATTACAAGTTTAACTTCCTACAGCTTTCATGAAAATTTCTATATTATATTTCATTTGTAACTCAAGTCTTTATTTATTTTAATTTACTGTCCTTTCTGACGAAGGAATTGTAAAAAAGGACTTATTTTGACCCAATATAAGCTTAAATAAGTTGTTTAGGTCTTATTCATATAAGCATTAGGGTAGGAAACTAGAGAATAGAGCGGATAAAATGCCTAATAGCATGTAATATGGATTCATTTCAAGCTTATATTTAGCTCATAAAAACAGTAGATGCAATATAGAGAATATTGATAATACTCTCTCTGATCATAATATGAAGTTGCGAAAACGAAGTTAAATCTATTCATATAACATATTATGAGCAAGATGCAGTTCCTGAATGAGACTTAAATAAATATCAAAATGCCTCATTCCACTTTGTTTCGATGACAAGAATATAGGAAGAATAATTAGGATTTGCTGAAGCCTAAACTGCAGAACTAATACTCTTCCATTAATACTTTGGATTTTTAAATTATATAAGGAATAATATGATGTGAACTATTTTTATTTTAGTTGACTAGTAATTCACTATTTTATTAAAAATTCTTGCTTTTTTCGTCCACGGATGCATAGTTTCACGACGATGATCGAATGTAAGAAAAGGTAATATGTCTAGAAAGCATCCTTTCTGAAATTTGATAATGATTGCGATAAAGTAAGTGAACACAATTAAATAATTGGGAATATATCTATTCATAATTTTATAAAC